GGGGACAGGAGACACCCCCTTGATGAGAAACTGTAAGAAATGATCGGGGAATCCCTCCGGAGTGGAGTCATGATGACTGGATCTGAATTATTTTTATGTATTTTGTGGTTTGTGTTCCAGCTGTCGATCAGAAACTATATATATCCTCTATATCCACCAGTTAAAGGAAATAAAACGTATGTGTTGTGTTATATTAGCTGTACAATTTACCACATATGGTGTTCTTAGTTTCCATACCTCCTGTGTTTTACGAGCGACTTATCAAGTATTGGCGAACGGCATAAAACATGATTAAACATGATAGTATATAAAACCATGCTCATATCTATACAACCTATAGAAATGCAAAACGGCGTCAGTTTAAAGTAATTCTGTCCTTCTGTTTACCACATCATTTATGAGAGTACATTTCTTAACAGGAGAACATAATCGAGGGGTGATCAATAACATTTCCGTATTTATTCATTTTTCCAAGTTATGTTTGTGTGCACTGAGGAGTCTCAAACAGGCATTTGTTTAATCACTTTAAGATTGGCTTTAATCAATTTGTGAAAATGAATTCTTCATATATGACACATGAGAGGTAACATTCTATTTATGGTATCATTTCCACATATTTCTCTCCATTCTTCCTTCTGCCAACGGTGTCGCAGTTTCTCGTCTCTCCCGTTTTTGTGCGTAGTACATACGGATGGGTCAGCGTTTGCGTGGAGGACCGCACATTTTCCCGTCAAGTTTGTTTTTTATAAATCGCAAACATTGCGTAGAAACTGCCATACGCCATCTTTTGAGCGAACGCACTGTTTATAAATGAGGCCCCTGGACTGTACACTTTACTTTAGAAATAACCAACATTCCCCTATGAGCAAAGAAAACTCCCAGGCTCTGGGACCACAGGAAGTGTATCTAATAGCACTGGATTTATTGCATTACTATCCAATCCTAGGGTCAACAACTTGATGATTAGCTTTCGTATCTTATTTATGGGGGATACTTTTCAATGGGTGGCTGTATCCATAACTTTTGCATTGTGACAGGAATACCCACCAGTGCCTGTGAGACAATGGGTAGAGCAGATATCTGGTTGATGCGAACCTACTGGGATTTTGATTTCCCTCGTCCTTTCCTCCCTAACTTCATATTTGTTGGTGGAATCCACTGCAGACCGGCTAAACCTTTACCAGAGGTAATTGATGACTAAAGCAATGAAGAGAATTGACCATTACAATGCTGAGAAAAGACGGAGCTGGTTGGTTTGCATCAAGACATTTTTTTCTTTTTGCAGGATATGGAGGAGTTTGTGCAGAGTTCTGGAGATGCTTGCATTGTGGTCTTCACTTTGGGATCATTCATCAAGAACATTAATACAGAGAAGGGAAACATGGTCGCCTCAGCACTCGCTCAGATCCCACAAAAGGTCAGGGGACAATCTCCACGGTACTGGAGCTGATTAGAATGACCCCAAGCACAATGTTGAACTTGTATCACAACAATGTATATTCTAAAAGTTATTCTTGTAATATGCTCAACAACATTTTTAAGGTTTTATTTTGGAACAATACATTTGGTGAATTTAATAGTTTTTAACTAATCCTTACCTCCAAAAAATATGTTTAAGCTACTATTGGAAACTGCATTAATAGGTGATGATCCAATACAAAAATGCAAAAGTATTCCAAAAGGGACAGTCAGTTTTAGTCTAATATAAATTCCTAGAAAATAAATTTTAATCTGCAGTTTCCAAGTATATCATGATCCAAAGAGCAACATTAATCTGGATAAGTGAGCACTGCTTAATTTAAAAAAGGCAACAATATAATCATGCAATTATCAACAATTTATTTTCCAGGTTAGTAATCTAAAGTGTCTCTGTCTTTCTCTTAACCAGACACACTGCACACATTTGTACTAATTTGCATCAAAATGTGTCAAAACTCTACAAATGAAGGATTCCGACACATATACAAGAGAATGTAAAATCATTTATAAGAAAAAAACCAAGGCACTATATTTTGAGATATTTTAGAAAATAAATTATTGTACAAAATCTGAATGTAAAGAGTATTTTAAAAACCAAGTTAATCATCCAGGACTACCTATTTTCCCCAAAAATACTACTGAGCTTTGAATAATAATAAAAAAACGAATTATTATTAATATATATGAAAAGTTATTATTTTAGTATACATTATTAGATTGACTAATATGCCATATAATAGGACATTGAATTAGCACTGGGTTTAAGTGTTTTTACTATGGTTTTAAGGTGCTGTGGAGATACAGTGGAGAAAAACCAGCAACTCTGGGTGCCAACACCAGAATATACAACTGGATACCTCAGAATGACCTGCTGGGTAAGTAACATTTTTATAAAAACCTTCGTAATCAGTGATCCATATGACTTTTCCTTTACTATTAGAACAGGGTATTTGCCACATTGTGTTGCTTTTTTGTCATTTAGTTTGAAAGTAAACAATCATAAAAGGGACATACAGTAGAGAGACACATGCATCGAAACACGAGTGCTCTTTGCACATCAATTTAAAGATGAGGGATAGCACATTATCATGAGATCGATTTAAAATCCATCTGACAGCTTATTCTAATTAGTGCGAATGCTGTTTACAGCATTCCACTATAGTTCTTCAAATCTTTATTCTTCCCCTTATTTCAGCCAACACTTTGGCACTCCATAACTTCAGCTTATTTTCAGCTACAGAAACCATTCAAATATTAAACTATTCAGCCTGTTCAGGAATCGATGGGAAACCTTCAACTTTTTCAAAATATTTCATACTTTTTGAAATATTCAGCTTTTTAAACTCTTTTTTTAACATGGAAGTCAATGGGAAGAGCCTTCAAATCAGCCAATACTTTAGCTCTCCATAACTTCAGCTTATTTTCAGCTACAGAAACCATTCAAATATTAAACTATTCAGCCTGTTCAGGAATCGATGGGAAACCTTCAACTTTTTCAAAATATTTCATACTTTTTGAAATATTCAGCTTTTTAAACTCTTTTTTTAACATGGAAGTCAATGGGAAGAGCCTTCAAATCAGCCAATACTTTAGCTCTCCATAACTTCAGCTTACTTTCAGCTACAGAAACCATTAAAATAATAAACAATTCAGCCTTTTCAGCCATCAATGGCTAACTTTCAGCTTTTTCAAGATATTTCACACTTTTTGAAATATTCAGCATTTTAAACTCTTTTTTTAACATTGAAGTCAATGGGAAATGCCTTCAAATCCACTTTTCCTACACTTTGCATCAAATGCTTCTCCTTCCAGATAATTTCAGCCAGACACTTCATTCCAACTTTCAAATGATCACAATATCTTCAGCTATTCAATTCCTATTCAGATTTTTGATATCTTTTAAACTTTTTGAGATATTGAATTTAGTTTCGAGCTTGGTAGAGAGGCCTTTTTCAGATTTTAACATTAGAGTGGATGGATCAGCTGGATCAGTGCTTTGATCTCAAAACAGAGTGCAGCAGTGCTTGAAATTCTCCCCCAAAAATGTTTTAAACTTGCCATAATTCCCAAACCCTACACTCTTC